CCCTGGAACCGACCTCGTAACCATAACCTCGTTATAGTTTACATACTAATAACTTTTAATTATTTTAAGTGTATCTTTACAAATTCAGCGCGACCCCGCTTGTTTCCCGATGACATTTTATGGATTTTAACGATCGCGTTATAACGGGGCTACACTGTAATATGATGCTTATTGCATCACGTTTTAAACCATAGACAAACAAAATTTGTTAAAGCTTACCTAGTTAAAAAAAATAACAATATAAAAATGTGCCTGAATTATTTTGAGCCTACTCAAGGAAAAATATTGTTATTCCGTGGGTTTTTTTCGTCATATCTGGGGAGGTCTCAAAATCTCAATTTCTGCAGTTGTCCGATGAGAAGTTGCATTACAAAAATGTAGCAGAGAGGGAGTGAATACTGTATAGAATTATCTTTCTCAGGTGATTCTCGAAGTAAACTTTGAAGAAGCTGAATGTAATGATAAACTGTACATATCAATTTCACACTGAAGTACAGAAACACTGGAATAATTTAATAGTTTTACTGTTTCTGTTCAAGACAAAAAAATAAGAAGAAGAAGGGTATTAACTGGGACGTTTTATAACCCTAAAACAGTACGGTCAGCATACATCATTTATATGGATGCAGCCAGATGATACATCAAACTTAAGTATAATCTTATAAATTATTGGGCTGTAGCTAGGAGAAGCAGGAAATAAAATCTTTGATTGAAATTATTTATCATTAAAAGGGAGCACTTTAGAGCGTAAGGGCGCTAAATTATGAAAAAGGAGTGGCCGCACCCCCTGAATCTGCTAGTATCCTAAAATGTCTGTGACCTAAAATTAACAACAAAACTAACCATGCAAAGTAAGTTCTTATGTTGTAGACTGCGCAATTATTTTTTAAATAGAAGGAAAAACATAACTTTTATCACTAACAGACTTCTTTTAACGGTATACTGAAATCTTGTTGTGCACATAGTAAAAACAAAATGCCATTAGTTATCAACTTAACTACATTTATGTATATTCACTATCTACCACGTCAACCGTTTGATCCAGTTCTCATACCTTGAGGTTTGAACTCCTTAGTTAATATAAGAGCCATGTCCTTTAACCAGAAAGTCTGGGCACAGATAATATGACGATGACCTTCGGCAGATGGCGTAGTCATTGCTTTCAGGTGTGCCTGTGCTACATCCCTCACATCGCAACAACAGAAGTTTACTCTTGGAACCATTGGCATTCCCCGTTCTAGCAGCCTTTTGACAATCTTAGAGAAAAAATTGATTTGTTATTGTAAGTTAAACGGGTCAGTCTTAAGGATAGTTCATAGTGCTGAGAAATCTAACCAGAAAACGTCTAATAATTTGTAAAGAATAGTATCAAAGTTACGTTTACGATTCGCTTTTTCACTCATGGTAACACGACAAGACTATGGCTTGGTGCACAATAAAACAAACACATTTATGGTTAAGGAAGTACTCTAAGTCAGACACAGGTGACTAAAACCAACGAAAAAGAACTGTTTGTTTGTTATGAATTTCGCGCAAAGCTACACGAGGGCTATCTGCGCTAACCGTTCCTAATTTAGCAGTGTAAGACTAAAGAGAAGGCAGCTAGTCATCAACACCCACCGCCAACTCTTGGGCTACTCTTTTACCAACGAATAGTGGGATTGACCGTCACATTATAACGCCCCCACGGCTGAAAGGGCGAGCATGTTTGGTGGGACGGGGATTCGAACCCGCGACCCGCAGATTGCAAGTCGAGTGACCTAACCACCTGGCCATGCCGGGCGGAAAAAAAGTGAGTTTATGGTTTTTGACGATGAAAGGAAAAATAAAGAATCGTAAGAGTTTGTTATAGGCGATTCTCTAATTAAGTATATCGAAACGTACGTGTATGATAGAACAAACAGAAAACTAAAATATCATTTTCTTAACGGATACTAATGTTCTGAATGTTATGTGGAAGATGTGTGATATGCAAACTTATTATACCTTTTACCTGATTTAGTGATATATAGAAATAAAAAAATTCTTTATTTAATTTGTATGCAGTTTTAGCATAAATACATGGTCCAGAAAGTCGTTGAGATTGCTTTGTTTCATTGTTCTATATAGTAAATAATATATATACATTCTTCTCAGTAACGTATACCATCCTAGCTGAAAGGATTAGTGACTGTAATATCTTTTGCTGAGCGAGTTGACGTTGTCTGAATGTTACAGCTGACCAGTACTGTGAAAGAACAAAGGGCACGGCGACGCCGTCTATTAACCAAAATACAAAAACGAGTTTACTTGTTGACTTCAGACGTGATTTCTTGGCTCATTTCTGCTTGAAAATTATTGGGGAAAGATTGCACTCGAAAATCATCGTATTTTAGTTCAACAGAAATCAATCGGGGCAGAATAAAAACTGTGGGACTAAACACAACTTAATAGATATTTGACTGCGTTTTTGTCTGTGCAAGTACGCATACTACATTTTCACTTTTGTCTGTTCTGTTTTAGATATTTTGTTTATTTTTGTTAAATTTGTTCAGTATTGTTATTTCACACACACAGTAAGAAAACTTAATTAAGTTATCAGATTCACAGTTATTCTCTTTATTCTTTGAGCAAATCAGCTGTTATTAAATGGTCTAATTATTTGATATTTGTTGGGAAGCCAGTTTTTACCTGAAAATACTCGGAGTATATAGGAAGGAGAAATTTTGGGGCCATGGTATCAAAATATTGTAGAGTTTCTATACTGATAACGTATGTATTACCTCTTGCTTGATCTCTTGCATTGAAAAGAGTTTAAAGACATACTTTTACTGAAAAAATGTAATTTTCTGAATATAGAAGCACTCACAACTGAGGAGAATTTACATATGGAGAGAGATAGTTGTATAAGAGAGATATCAAGTCTAGCATAATTCCCCTCCTTTTCATAGGACTTTCACCATTGCTGCAAAAGTCTATGACATTAATCAACCCGTAACTGCTGACTCAGCGAAATTTGGTCATGTCTGATGCATACAAGCCACTTGAGCAGATGGTACCCCTGAGGATCAGTCTTGGTAGAAGGGAAGTGTGGATGACTGAGGTTAGTCAGAATGGAATGGTGCCTAGCAAGTTTGAGACAGCATAGGGAGGTTTCTAGCAGACTCCTAGGCTGTTGCAAGTTAGAACATAGCAGCTCCAACTCTGGTTAAACTACCAGTAACTAGGTGAAAGAGGCTGGACATATAACTGGAGGATGATCTCCATCAGTCAGGATTGTCTCCCTGGTAAGTGAGACAATAGACACACATGGGTGAAGACTGTGACTCATATGGTGAGGTACTTTTCAGATTGAAAATGTTCTTCCTGACCTTGGCAGCAGCTCGTGATACCTGGCAGAGATTCCCACACCCACTGAGGTGTGAAAGTCCTTGTTAGTATCTTTCCATCCAGAACTAAGGACATTTGCTGCATCTTCTCCTGTAATCTGTCGGGATTATTAGAGAAATAAGAGGCTTTTTGTCTAGTACATAGGTCTTTGTAACAAAAGTCATGCAGATCCTGTCTCGATGAGAGACATGGCCGAGATTGGTTCCTGAAACATTTCAGGCGGGAGAGGGAATCTAGATTTCTCTGAGTGTGTATTGGAATACTGTAGTAATAGAATAAGCTTTAATGAGCAAGTGATGGTTAGTTTTTCTAGGTATTTTTACTGTACTGGCAAGAGTTAATAGTTGATTTTTATTCTAAGTGAAGATTGCTATTCTGTTTTTTTCTTTTTAAATATATTGTTTCATAAACATATTTGCTTTTAGTGTTAAAAGGCACATTTAATGTTTTGATATAAATGCTAGACTGCCCCTTTCATTTTCAAGTTCATTATTAACATGTACATCCTTGTTAAAGGGTTTTTAATTCTGATTCTGGTTTTTTGTTTCTTTTTTATATTTTTGTTATTTAATTAGTTTTGCGTGTGTTTTTTAGCCTGTACACACTTTACGTTGACAGTGTAGCTCTGCATTCGATATTTCATTATTTTTCTTCTTTAGTTTTATTTTTTGTTTATGTATGTACTTGCACATTGCATTATCAATGTTAAGAGGTATACTGTTCTTTTATCTGTGTTATAGAATGTTTATTATGCATTTTTCTTTGTGCTATTTACAGGTTTTAAAGTAGAGTTTGCTTTTGGTAATGTATTCTGTACTGCATTTTATTTTGATTAAAATTTAAAAATTGTGATTTTAAGAGTTGGAATATTTAAAGAGTAAAGGATTTTATCATTATACAATGTATTATCTAGTGTTCGAAAAGTGTAGTTAAAAAGTTTTTCATTATGTGGATCTTGTGTTTAATTTTAACATTATTAAAATATTGTGTATAGTAGTTAAATATAAGTCACCTTTAAAGGACATGTACGTGTTTTTAAGAATGACCATGTTGCTAGTTTAAAGGTTATTGGTTTTAAAATTAAATCTAATTATTGGCTTGAGGACAAGCCTGAAAGAAAGAAGGGAGGAAAAGTGTGATATCCAGCCATATCAGGGGTTTTCTACCTGCTTTAGCAATATGTTGCCTAGTTCTAATTGCTTTTTCCTTTTCTTCTCTATAGGAGAAATGATATTACATTAACATAAAAGATTAGTGAAAGATTAGTGAATTAGAAAAGATTAGTGAATGTAACATTCTTTGCTGGCAGAGCTGATGTTGTCTGAATATTACAGCTGAACAATGTTGTGAGAGAACAAAGGTCACGAGGTGATGCTATTCACAAGACAACGAAATAGGAATTCTTCTTATTTCCTGAGCGAATTTGCTGTTATTAGCTGGTCTAACTATCTCATACTTGTTGGAAAATCAGTATTTACCTGAAAATTTCGTAAATGAACAATTTAATGTTAGGAAATAGAAACGATGCTGTTTTTGTAGTACGTGTTAAAGTTAGTTATATTTGTATTAATATTCACAGATATGAAGAGTTACTGACTTGGTAAAATAAATTATTTAGGAGCTTTAAGAGTAGGAATTGCCGGCTTGCTTACTCTCAAGAGTTTTTCTACTTGATAGATGTGGAGAACAAACTTTAAGTTGAGATAAGGATTAATGAAGTAGTAAATCTGAATGAAGAAGGAAACAAGTGGCAGATTTAAATGCATAGTAGAGATATTTTCTCATATAAATTGGTTAGAGAACAATGTCTGGAGGAAGCACTTAATTAATTTATTATGAACTTCTTAAATAAAGTTGACATAATGATGAGGTGACTCTTTAGTCCTTGTTGTGGTATCACGTATCTTAGAGGGCAAACTTACGAATAGGAAGTTGTAAATAAACTTAATTAGGATTTCAAGCTTAGCTACTATTGGCATGTTAGATGCCATTAGTATTGGTTAAATGAAGATAATAATTTTAAAAGTTTAAAGGTTTTCCATTGAGACCCCGTAAAAAAAAAATATTTTCACTTTAAAGGTTTTCTAATCAGCACTGAAACCGACAGTAGCCTGTATTGGATACTATTTTATTATTATGAAGGGCTTTATTAATTTTAGGGACATTTTCTGGGTAGATCCGTTGTATATCTTATAGAGCCTATTTCCAAAAAAACTGCTCCACATTAAGAGAAAGATTAGGAAGTTAATAGGAAAATTACCAGCGAAGCGGTTGCTAGTTTGATTAATTTTGCATTTCAGTCAAAAGCCTAGTTTTAAGTAAATGGATTATTATTTGTCATACATGAAAAGTACCAAATTTACGAGAGTATTAATTTTACTAGTAGGATGGAAGATGCTGAGGTTTGTGAAAATAAACAAAATAAAACAAGACCTTTATTTATGAAAGCCTCTTTGTTCCAAACATTAAATTTTACTTTAAATAACTTTAGTTAATTAATGCATTTCCCGAAACAATAGTCAAAGTTGATATTGATTCTTTAAGAAATGTTAAAATAAACGTTATTGTAGAGGAATGGAATGAAGTGTTAAACATGTTTACATGTGTTTTTATTAATGAAAGAGAAAAAAAGATATTATTAAGCTGATGAATTTTTAAAAGTGTGGTGTTTTCTGTTTATGTTGAGAAAACAAAACTGTTAAAAATACTTGGGAAGCTTCTAGAGAGTAAATCTAACGAGTTTAGCTATCTTGAAAAAGCTTAGCAAAGATTTAATGATGACTTTAACTGTTATTTTACAAAAGTCTCTTAGAATATTGTCCGTGTGACATTTATTTTAAAAAAAAAAGGGAATGGCCAGGGAAGGATCCGGGAAACCATAAACCATTAATTTGACTTTATTAGCAAGTTGTAATTTATTGTCAGATGTCATTTATTTCAAAGTAGAATGAACTGGTGGTGTGAACTTTCTTATGTGTACCAGGCTTGCCTAATACTTTACACTCCGTTTATCAAATACTTACTTTAAACTCAGTCTATCAAATATTTGCTTTAAACTCAATTTATCAAATACTTACATTAAATCACTTTATCAAATACTAACTTTAAAATCAGTTTATCAAATACTTCAGAATGCGAAATTAATGATTAAGACAGCCAAGTGTTCCTCGAGTTTTAGCAATAATAATTATAAATACTCCATTTCTTGTATTTATGATTAAAACTACGATCTTAGTGTCATAAAACATTATTGACTATATATATGTGTGTGTGTATCTAAAAACTAAAGTTAATAATTTCATTCGAGGAAGAATTATAAATAAACAACTTTAAATCCTGAATCCTTTCTTAACAAATATAAAAGGCAAACAATAAACTATGAATAATGTTTGCTGTAAGTTATTTAACTCACATTGATATCTAAAATTTTCAGTTAACCATTATAAGCTTGTAAAATGAAACATTCATGTACTTGTTTCTCTCAAAGATTGTTTGTACAGGTATTCAACTAAGAAAAGAGAAAGTTGACATTAAATAATTAAGAGTTTTTAATAAACTGTTAATTCATAAAAGTTTTATTGATTGAAGATATAACACTTCCTAACGTACATAACTGAAGAAAACAACAAAAATATCACAAAGTACGTTTTTCCGCTTAGGAATCTGGTTAATGTTAATTTCATTCAAAAACGCTTCAAAAGGCTGTTTATACTAAATCTAAAATAACTGCTAATTTAAAACCAGAGACACTGTGTACGGAATTCTGAGAATTGTCCTTCCATGTTTATTGTTATTTAATTAACTTTAACGAATTAACTTTTAACATTTTTCTTTTCAGAGTTTAATGAAAAGAAAAAATAACTGTTGCTTTTCTGTTTCTTTGATCTTTAAGCAAAATGTGTTAGGAATGAAGGTTTCAGTTCATGAGAGATGATGTTCATCGGTGCATGTTTCAAACACGTATGTGTTAAACCGAAATAATGTTTGAGGACATTCGATTGTTGGCAAGCTGAAATAAAGATGTTTGTAAAAGCCATTATGATGTGATGATCCATTTTCAGTATAAGATTTTAACGTAAAGATTGTACCAAATGTTATGTGTGTTTTTAAACTTTCAACGTATATATTCTTTGTTACAAAATTATACGTGTACATATATATATATATATATATGATGTGTGATTTTAACTTACCTTATTAAAGTTTTTGTAATTTCAATAATTAAAACTTAATTGTTTTAACAATTATAACTCCATTTCAAGTTTATATATATATATATATATTGTGTGATTTGAACTTACCTTATTAAAGTTTTTGTAATTTTAATAATTAAAACTTAATTGTTTGAACAATTATAACTCCATTTCTAGTTTATATATGTGTTTACATATATTGTGTGATTTAAACTTACCTTATTAAAATTTTTGTAATTTTAATAATTAAAACTTAATTGTTTTAACAATTATAACTTCATTTCAAGTTTTTGTTTTCTTAACTTTTAGATATTTACCACTTAAAAATAGCTAGTAAGCTGCGAAACTGGTTTAAATGTTGCCTTTTTCGTACAATGAATGAAATTGTTTGAAAAATAGAGAAATGTGGACTAATATACAAGTATATGTTAAAACAGGATCGTTTGTTGTTAAGAACAAAACTGTATGAGAATTCAACCATGGTTTTTAGCGTTATGAGACTCCAAATTTTCCACTGACTCACTGGGAGAGGGGGGAGGGGATAAAATACGAAATTAATAAGTGGTAGTATTTTCTAAACGTGTCGAAAGATGGCGTTTCCGACAATGTGGCGTTAGGGTAAATTTTAATATAGGTTCGACACCGGCGCTAAGCGCAGCACAGATTACGCTTGAAAACACACTCGTACAATAAGTGTGTAAAAAAGGTTATAAAAACAGCTTCTCACCTCATTGCTCGTGCTGAGTGTAGGAGTTAACACGGGTCCACATACTAGACCCGGGTTGATGACCGCTAATTCGAACTTTTTCTCGTCTGCATCAGAAAAGTTTATCAAAGCAAAGTAAATGAAAAACACAACATAAGTAGTACTTGTATCCTACCTTTAACAAGCTCCTTCTATTTGTTAAATAATTTGTTTTCTAAATTTGAAGTTTATTAACCACAAATAATATTTCCCTAAATTGTAATTTTGGATTGCAAAATACATTTCCATAATTTTCAATTATAAATCTTATTTTCTCATCAGAAACTATTTTACTTTTACATTTTTTTTAATACAAAAAGTTTTAATTGAAATAAGGATACCACTTTGTAAAATCCTGAATAAAAATAACACCAATGTTACACAAGCTTTAATTTTTATTAGGCTATCGATCAGTAATTGTGAAAATAAAAATAAATCTGACGGAAGAGTTATATATTTATTATACACTATATCTAGTGTGGGTATAAAAAGAATACACAAGAGCCTAGTAAGCTAAAAAATATTCCATGTATCTTAAGTTAGTTAACTATATAACTAGATTTAAAAATAACAGTGCAATAAAATCATTTGATGCTAAGATAAGTAAAATAAGTTATTTAATAAAATATATCTACGTTCAATTGCTGTGTTAGTTAATGATGCCCCGTAAACAGAAACTATGTCACATTACTACTAATTATCAGGAAGTTTAATAAAGACAATGTTCCAGTTTTTTGTTATTTAAAGAAGGAGAAGTACATTGTATAAATTCATTTATTTTAACTTATTAAAGAATTGACAAAACATACAAAAAAAAACAGCTTGTTTCGACAGGCCAAGCTCGTCATTCTCAAGGGACGGAGTGTTCACTTTCAAAATGGCCCCAGAAGGGACGAAACTCACGCTACTGCTGTTAGTGATCCTTGACCCCACTGGGGCTGTTTTGAACCTGAACAGCTTTACATTATTATGCTGGTGTGTTATTACTGTTTTTCTGTTATCTCCTTTATTCTGTGTTTATTGTGTTTTATAAGGTATTCGAAATATCGTAAAGCTCTTAAAATTAGATTTGGGTTTATCTTTTCAAAAGGATATAAAAAACAACAACTTTTCTTAATAAATTTAATTGCACAAAAAAAACCACAAAATAACGAATCTCCTAGTTAGCAAGTTTCTCAAGTCAGGTATTTTGAAACAAATGGAACCGCTAGGCGCAATATTCACTACCACTACTGGTTTTATTTCTATACTCCCTCCAATTTGCTCATTACGATACTTTGTTTATCTAGTCAAATAGCTTAATAAATCTTTATTAACGAATTTAAGTTATTATATTTAGTTATCCAGCTTAGTATCACCTTAGCACATAAAATGAATAATTTCAATTATCAAACATTGTAGCTCTTTAAAAGCATAATAATTTATCTAATTAGTCATCAAACCTGGCAATTCTTTAATAAAGTCCCATGCTTCTTTCTCAGCCATTGTTTTACTTTTGGAGTACAAGTCAAGCGTGGTTGACTCAGTATTTGTCCAATCGGCCTCAGTATAGACCTTTCCTTCTTCTACAGTGGTTTCACCTAACAGAATAACAAAGTGTCAAAACGATTTAGGAAAAATAGCAATCTATAAATTTCTGTAAATGATGAATAGTTTAAAAACACAAATATATTTACGAATACTGAGGTTATGTTAATAAAATGGCGTATTAAAAATAAGGGATGTGATTTTCAACAGTAACATTTGGTACATTGAGTAACAATAGATAAGTGGTAACACTTGGTATATTCGCAAACCTTGGAGCATCAGGGAGACATTGCTGAGTAGAGTTAATAAGCAGTAAAACGATTTATAAAGTAGATCGTAAGCAAAACTTAGTAAATATTTAAGTATTCAGGAAACGTGGATTATCAGTTAAACTAATTTATCTATTAAAAATAAATACTCAGTAAAACATGGAATATGGAGTAAATGTGATTTACAAGAAAACTTGTTTGTCCTTGAAGAAGAAAGGTCCACTTTTCGAAAGAGCTTGGGTTATAGGGTTTTATCATTTTATATCAAGACTTCTTGAACCTATGTTTTTTTCTGACATCATAAAAAATCACAAGAAAACTCTTTAACAATAAGTTAAAATGTACAGATAGGAAGACTAGTATAATGAGCAAAATTAGTCAGCGAAACTTAATATACTGAGAAAAGGTTAAACGATTCAACTTAACATACTGCGTAAAAGTACTGAATGATCAGTAAAACTTAGTTTACTTGAATAAAATAAAATATTCAGGAACTGTTGGAGAACTGAGTAAAAGAGAATGACTAGTATGTCGTGGTATAAAGTGTTCTAAATTATGTGTGTATATATATATATATATACTGCAGTATTCAATGTTTTGTTTGTTCGTTAGTTTGTAATTAAACACAAAGCTACACAATGGGCTATCTGTGCTCCGCCCACCACGGGTATCGAAACCCGGATTCTAGCAATGTAAGTCCGCAGACATGCCGCTTTGCCACTGGGGGGGGGGGGGCAAATGCTTTGAAAATTATAAAAAGATTCCAGTATTTCAAATTACTAACTCCATTCGATTAATAACTGAAAACATTAAAAATATAAACAATTTTAGTATAATATTTCACCAGTGTTCTCCTGACATTACTGAACATTAACAAAATGTTCTTTTAACCTTAATTATGTTCTTAGATATTTCATTTCTTGTCCGAATAAAATTTCCGAATTAAAGTTTCAGGTGGCTTGCGTATTGTAGTACGAACTGTAATAGAGTGACACATCTACGTGATTCATATAGCAGGAACTTCCTCGCATACACTTACCATGAATGGCAGCTATTGAACTAGTAAGTACAACCCGTTTGACTGTTCCAGCATCAGCACAAGCTTGCAGAACTCTCTTGGTTCCTTCCACAGCAGGTTTAACGACCTCATCCTCACTGGCAGGTGGGGTATTAGGAAACGGGGAAGCTACGTGGATGACGTAGCTACAGTCTTTAACAGCTCTAATGAAAAACATTTTAAACTGTTAGTTATTTCAGCAGATAAATAAGATATATCACAAGTAGAATAATGTTATGAACTATTTATATTTTCAAACATATTAAGCTATTTTTTTCTCGTTCGCACTATTAACAGTATATGCACGCCAAATTATCTAATTATAATTAAAATAACACAATTAGAGATAAATAGTTAACGGGGAATACTCACTGGCTAAGATTTGCTTACTACTAATGATAACAAAAACACTTTTTCTTTTGAAAAGTGTAAACTGCCTGGGAAACGTATATGGATACATAAGTCGTACATAAGCGTCCTTGTAGTTTTTGTCCTAATATAGTATAGCACGGATCTTGGCCTGAATAACTGCTGCTATTCTGTGAGACCTACCTTGTGGTCTAACTAGAGTATTGTTACGTCTCCGTTTGTTAATT